CTTGTATTTCCACTGAGCCACCTCGGCTTTCTTCTTCTTCCTAGCGTCTGCCACCTCCTTCTGAGCGGCTTGCCGGGCCACGCCCTCTGGACCCTTGGGAAGGTGCGGCCGGGACTTGTAAACTCCAAGCCCCTATGGAATGTGTGGCTCCAAATCAAAAAATAGGAAAAGCAGGGGAAGAAGTATGGACTAAAGAGAAGGGAGCATACCAGTCTAGACACGATTGCAGAATTGAAAGGTGCAGGCTTCCCTTCGACCCTCTCATTGGGCTTCAGCTATAGCACCCGGCCAAGGGACTCCAGACCTCGTCGACTGGTAGATCCTCCAGCGACGCGCGGTCTGGGTCCGACGGGCCACTATACAACCACATCGGCCGTGTCCTCTCCGCCAACGGCGTGACCCGGCGGTGGTAGAGAGTGTGGAACACCCGCACCCTGTAAAGACCATGCCGCACGAGCTTCCAAAGCTCCACCTCGATGACCTCCACCTTCTTCCTCTCCTTACGGGCGCAACCCCATGACCAACTGTCCTGCTTCTCCGGTCTCTCACCGTTGAACGCTGAGAACGATGCCTCCACCGGATTCCTGATGTAAAACTACTCCCCATGCCACCCCTAGTTGGAGTCATAGGGGAGGTACGCGGGATATGAGCCTCCCGCGCTCAGTTTCCTCTGCAGGGCAAAACCCCCCACCGACGCGATCTCAGCTAGATTCCCCACCGTCAAGGCTCTCCCAAAGAACAGCCGCCAGAAGAAATCCACGTGCAGCTCTATCCTGAGGAAAGCCTCGCAGATGGTGATGAAGCCGGCGATGTGCAGCACCCCCGTTGGATTAAGGTGCTGCAGCTCCAGACCCCACTCATTGAGGAGCCCATGCAGGAACCAGTGCGCGGGGTACCCTAACCCACGCTCATGGAAGGTAAGAAAGGACACCACCTTGCTAGGCCGAGGTTATGGGAACTCCTCCCACTGCAAACTTTGAGCACCTGGGCTCAGGAATAAAGTCACTGACCGACTCAAACTGGACATAGGGCACGTTGCCTGAACTAGTATAAACCCTGTGTCATTGAGTGCTAGGCCACCTCCGATCACAACGTATAGCAAAACTACAATTATTTACTAGTTGGTCACTTTTTGTACCAACACCTAGTTAAACTAGTCGAACACCTGCCTCAACTGTTCGGACACCCACTTCAACAGCTCGGACGCTCGTTTGAACTGCTTGGACGCTTGCTCCAACAGCTCGGCCCCTATTTGAACTAGTCAGAAGACCGATCCTGATGAGTTGCTGCAAGTTGGACAGCTTGGATGGACGCAAGATGGTGTTGCTCAATGGATGCAAGGTGCTCGGGGACTAACATAATTCCACATGTATTTGGAAGATGAACGTTTTGCAGGCCTATACACGAATACAGTGGAAATTCATTCCAAAGGCGTATTCTAGAGAAACGTAATTCAGAAACGTGCAAAGGAACAAGAAGAAGTCCCACTTACCTGGACAAATTGGGCGCCAAATCACCGAGGAGGCATCCTAGGTCCACTCAGCAACTGACCAGAGGAAGGCGTCGTGGGGCGGCTCCACCAGGGTGCGGCTGCACCCTGGGTGTGCCCACAGCCCTGCCTCTGCCAAATGGGCCCAGCTTCCTGAAGTGGTGCAATAAATGCTCCCCAAGGCGGTTTTGCATGGTATCTCCGGGAATATTCATTGCAAACCACCGTAGTGAGCAGTATAAGAGGAGGGAGAGAGCCCCCTCTCTCACACACACCTCATTTGGAGCCACTACACCTCACACCTCACTCTTGTACTCTCTTTTACATTTTAGTTGTCTTTTGAGAGCAAGACAAAACTACCTTGGAGGGTTTGACTCGTTGGAAGTGATTCTTGGTATGAATAATATGATGAGTTCTTCCAAAGTCTTGTTCTCATATTATCAATATAGTTATGCTTATGAACTAGAGTATAGTTTTCATGTTATGATCTTGACATATGAACTAGCATATAGTTTCTATGTTATGAACTTAACATGTAGAACATTAAGCCTAATCGTTCATATAACTTATATGATTAGAATTAGAGCTAAGTTGAGGTGGTGGTTCGTCATTCCTTTGGGTTTTCCCATGTCCTATGCTTGTCGATCCATAGGGTCAGAGTCCTGGAGGGATATGGATAGTTTCTTTGTACACGGACGTGGTGCTTGGGTACACAGGAACCTTCGGATGTGATGGTACTCCACGGTTGAGGGGTAGGCGGCAGGTGGTGACAGCCCTGTCCATCCCTTGTAATCCCCCACATTTAGGTATTCGTATAGGAGTTCGTAAAGTCTCTCACGCTTGCTGGCAGACCAGTGCTCGGAGGTCTCCCCGTCCATCTTACACTTAGGTCTAGCTCTCACCATGTAATTTGTATGATCATCAACTATTCTTTGGATGACAATATTAGAACAAGCCTGCTCCGCTTAGGAATATTCTTTTATTCTTTCTTTCTCTTTTATCCTTGAGGTGGCCCAATTGTGTGTCACACTATCTTGAACTATACAATGTTTACCCCTATTATAAACCTTGGTTCACTTTGCAAGCATGTAATCTTGTTCATATCCATACTAGATTCTTTACACCATGCCTTCCTTTGGGAAAATATAAATAACGATACCCTGAATACTTCCGGGTGAAATGCTACAACGATAGATCCGTGCGCTTGCAGATATTTTCTGTAATCGTTAAGAACTATCGTAATGGTGTTTCTTGGCGGCGTTGCTAAGGTTTACTAAATCTTAGTGATGGTGCTAAGAAATACCAACAGGCATTTCTAGCGCCGTTACCAGGGATGGATTCTATCTCCATACTTGGTGATTGCACTAAGAAATGCCAACACCATGGTAGTGAGACATGAACACACTTTTACAAACCACTTGCCATATATGGGTGTGGCAAGCCGAGTACTTCGTTGCGACTAGTTTTCTCGTGGATTCGGCGTGACATGTAGAGCGGGGTAGCTAGACTAAGCTAGTATCTCAACTCATGCTCTAACCATTCGTGGGTGTCCTTGGCCGAACTTGACAAAGGTTGAGGCATAGAGATACCCCTTATGTACCGACGGGTCATATGGCGGTATCCCTTGCCTTTGGTAGGGTTAATGTGTACCCTCTGTAGAGTTCGAACTATCTAAATGTTGTATTCTTATAGATACAGACTAGTGATGAGTAATGGACTCTTTGAAGATCGAGCTCCACCTTGCTAATCACTTACATTCATCAACCATGCTACACTTGCTTAGTTAGAAAGACCACTTTACATATGTATAAATGCCTTTATGCAAAACCAACCGCATTACTTGCTACAACTTAAATTGCATAATCCTTGTTACTAGATGGGTAAGTCCTATTGAATACAATCATGTACTCACTCTCCTGTTGTTTAAGTTTTGAAGGTACAATAGCTCCTGCTTACAGTTTCTTCAGCGCCCTGAGTTAGAGGACCAGGAATGGTAGATGACTATCCTCGTGGCGTAGGTTCATGGAGTTCGCACACCCATGAACATGTATCGAACATATGTTGTTTCTTAAAAGACTTCCACTATGTACTCTGAGTGTTATCATGTGATGACTAAGTATTTGGAACAATGTGTTGTAAACTTAAACTACTTCTTTTAATGTTGATGTAAACTTGGTGTAAGTAGGATGTGTTTCTCTGCTGTAATGTTCTTGGATGAAGGTCGGATATTAGTACACTATATGGATAATGTACCGGGATGACCGATATAGTTGGCCATCTAACTAATCAAAGTAAATGGAAGGCTATTTAGTCACGTGATCAGCCAAAAGGGAGGGGATCCTGATAGAAGCGGACATGGTAATAACCTCTATAAATCATTTCAGTAGCATTGTAGGTAGGGTTGGATAATAAGCCAACTGTACTGTTTTTCAAGCTTCATAAGAAACTAACACAAATAGTCTCCAAATTGTTTGAGACATAACTTCAAGCTGAGCATAATGAGCCAAGCCAAAGTCGAGAAAGTCATTCAAAATCAAGTCATTTTTTAATTTTAAAAGAAAAACAAGTAATTTAATCGGAGCAATTTTAAAATGAGGTACTGAGCTGGCTCAATAAGCTTTTTGTCCAGTCCTAAACCTAGGCTCAGTTCCTTGGGGGAGCTTTTTGAGCAGCAGGTTGTAATCGAAGCCCAAAGTGGCAACTAACCATTCGCTGCATCTCGTCTCGCTTTGGAGGGTAGAGCAGGGCCATGATTGTCCCCGGAATCTTATCCGGCTATGGCTGCGCAGTTACATACATGCATGCACATGCAGGAGATGGAGATCAATCGATGTCCCTGCTGCGGCGGCGAAGAGAATACGTCGTCGTCACGCCGCGCCCTGTGTGCTATGCGCCTGTGCAGGATTACACACACGACGGATCGAAATAAACATTCGCTCGTGGGCGCGCGAATTCCTGTCGCCTAAGTGACTGCCTCTCCAGGCCGTTAATAGAATGCGGCACTGTGCTTTTGCTTATGCTATGCTATAAACTGATAAGCTAGCGGCGAAGCAAAGCATCTGTCTGTGTGTTCGATCACTTATTTATCGGCAGATTTTTTTTTGTGGAATTGCGGTAAACCTCGGCTTTTGTGGAATCGTTACTTTCTTAAACCTCGGCTTTTATTGGAAAAAAGGATGGGACAAACAAGAGACTGATTGTTGGCATCAGTCACACTCACACTCTCTTTTTCCGTTCACATTCCTCTCTCCCTTTTTAGCTTCAGTTGGTGCTCTTCCAAATGACTAGTAACCCTCTAGCTGAGTAGTTGTCGAGGGTTATTAGTTACATCATTCAAAAGAAAAAAGAAAGAAAGGAAAATGCATGGTTAAATGTCCTCGATCATGGCGTGGCAACCGTTTAGCGATCACCAGTCTCGCCTGTTTCTAGCTCTTCGATCTCGTACAACTTATTATTTTTTTGTTTTTTTCCTGTTTTTTTCTCATCAGTGTACATGTAGTTGCCCGGCTCATCAACCTGAAAAGGAAAAGAGAAGCTTGCTGGATTAGCTGGGAGCACTAGCTAGATAGAGCAGTCTGTCACTGTCAAGTCAAGTGTAATGCCAACCAGCATTTGACTTGATGACATAAGCTCATGCATGGGCATAGGACATAGGAGTGTGCTTACCGTAGTATGATTTGGGCATACTGCACCGGAAGCACTCGGTTCGGTTGGCATAGTTCTGCACATGGCAACCCAGTCTGCACCGCGAACAAATCAAACATTAGCATCCAGCAAGTAATTCAAGGATTATTATTATAATATATACACTTTTAATTTAGTAGCTGGTAATAATATTACTACTACTAGTAGTCTTAGTCTATCCTAGTCTAGAAGGAATGCAGAGTCGACACGACAAGAAATTCCATTTGGCAGCTCAGCATTCTGCCGGGCAGAATATTCCAGGGACTTGAGTTGCAAACTTTTGCACGAGATGAAAGGGCTCGATATAGTAAATAAAACATTTTTCTCTCTTTACTACTGTATTTGAGGAAAGAAGTGGGGTTTCATGCTTGCATGCATCTTTTTTAAATATTTGTTACTTGCCAAACAAAAGATACTAGAAGTATTAGTAATTAAGTAACAAAGTGACGCCACTAGCTAGTTAATCTGCAATCAACAAGCAGCAACTGCTGCATGCATCATGCATGCAAATATGCTGCATTATATTATTCTGACTGAGCACGCAATGCAACACCAACACGTACGGATTAGCAAGCAAGAGAATCATGCATCGATCGATCTCTATCAATACCTTGGGCAGATCCAGTCGCCTGGCTTCATCCCGGGCTGGCCGGCGACGGTGTACCCCCAGCCCTGCGCGACGGCGGCCGGCGCCTCGTTCTTGGCGGCGCCGCACTTGAAGCAGCTGCCGCGGGAGGCATAGTTGTTGACGCTGCAGCGGTAGCAGTACCAGTCGCCGGGCTTGACGTCCCAGTCGCCGCCCAGCGCGGCGTAGTCCGTGCGCTCCACGCCCAGCTTGGCCTCGCCGCAGCGCTGGCACGCGTCGCGCTTGCAGAAGTTGACGTACTGGCACGACCGGCAGCTCCAGTCGCCGGGCTGCCTCCTGCTCGCCACAACGTTCATCTGCTTCTCCATTCGATCTCTTGTATATATATTCGCCGGCCTTTGGCTTTGCTCTCTCTCTGCTGCTCTTCTTCCTAGCTACCAAAACTCTATAGCTAGCTACCGATCGGGCCAGGAGCAAGCGATGAATCGAGCTACCTGATGCAGCTGCTGGAATGCTAGCCGAGCTCGATCGCTTGCTCTGGATGATGAGTGGATGGAAGAAGCTAGGCTTGTTAGTTGGTTTGAAGAGGGAGGAGGCGCGCGCGGGCTTTTATATAGGGTTTGGTGGTGCAGCACTGCTACAGCTGAGGCCTGAGGGGAGGCAAATGAAAGTTAGTAGGGGCCCGCCCCGCCAAATGCAAAGAAGCTACCTAGCTGAACTGTACATGTTGTGTGCGTGTGAGCTGCTGAGTGTGCGCTAGCTCTGTCTGGCTCATCATACATAGCTTTTCAGTTATCCCAAACTACTATACCGTGTCATAAGTCATAACAGGGCCGGGGAATCTCCAGGATTGATGGGGACCTATGTATACATTCTCAGGTTCTCACCACCAGTCACCAGGAGATCCCAGCTGGGCTAGATAGCTGGAGTGTGCATCATGAGGAACCAAATGCCTCCTGCGTCCTGCCTCCTCCAGTTCCCAACTTCATCAGGCAATGCTAGCCCTGTGAGATCGATATCTCATCTTTGGGACCAGTACTATGCATGCATCCATGTCGCCATGGGAACTGATCAAATCTTAGTCTTGATTGGCGCCGCCGCTTTGCTCAATTATTTTCATGTTTCAAGAGTAGTCACTGTTTACCTAAACAGACGTTTAGTCCATTTAAACTAATCGTTAATAAACGAAGGTCACCCGTGTCATTTAGAGACCCTAAACGGTGGACTGTTCAAACCCGTTTAAACCGTCCGCCTAAATATAATCAAGTTAAATATGATTACATGAGCTAAACGGTCATTTAATTTAACATTTAGTGAATAGAAAAATTACAACTACCACATTTGGCAACCAACTAATTAATATCCTCAATATATGAGGTGGAGTGCGATTTAATTTTCTTCCAAAAATATTATTTGGTAGAATACTTATTTTTTACATGTGTAAATTAAATATGTATACTTTCTAGCATATTTGACTTTTACATACATGAATATGCATATTTTAGTGTTACTATATAAATCCGTTTAGACAGTTTAACTCTATTTAAAGACCATCTAAACAGCCTAAAAGCCAAACGGAGGGGGGTTGACTATTAGGGCACTCCTAATACAGAAAGCATCATAGTTTCCATGGACATTAATTGTACTACCACCTAAGAGTTTTGCTGATGTGACAAGATAGTTATTGAGAGAGAGAGAGCAAAAATCATAGAAACTGGGTCTAAAGTTAGAAACCATGTCTATACGAGAACCAAGACATAAATGGATGTGATTGGTAGAGAGTGGAGAGAGAATGTATGTGATTAGATAAAAAATTGTTTGGTAGAAACTATCCATTGAAACCATGGTTTCTATATGTAGTGTCTATAGAAATTAATAGGTATAGAAACTACATGTAGTTTTTAGCATTAGGATTGCCCTTACCGTTTAGCGTTTAAATAAGACTGAGTGGATTTAAATTTTGTTTTTTACTAGCTAGGATATATTCTGGTCATCTCTTGGTTTCAACAGATTTTCCATTCGCTTTAATTAGATATTACATTTTGCAACATTAGTCGATCACCATAGGCTCAAAGTGCAACTTCTTGATGAAATGAACCAGATGAGGCATAAAAAATTGTTATGGACATTTGAGCCATATTGGAATGGCCAATGTTTTTGGTATTAAATTCTTCAACTAACTTATATTATTCGCCAGTATGGTAGTGACAAGTCACACATGCCTGTGGTCTGGTCGGTACGATCGCTATCTTGTAGTAGGCAACAGTTTGTTGTTGTTGCTGCCTCGATGGCTTGTGTCACTTTGTGATGATCAATACGCTGTGGCAAGGGTGGCAAATGGCATGGTAGGGTGTGTAGGTTTCATGGTGGGAGGGTAGTTTTCGAGTGAAGTCCCTACTTGGCTTCTCAATGAGAACAATAATTGGTGATGTCTTGGGCACCACGTCCCTCGTTGGAGGCTTGTTGTGAGGCCACTCGAGCTCTGCTCCGGTGGACACTTGAGAGAATTTGGTTGAAAAACTATTGTGCTGGAAAATCTCTGGTGCATTGGAAGCTTTAATAGATGTTGCTCTCCTCCTTAGAGGCATCACTATGGATAATCCCCTTCCAAACCCTGCTCCCCTTTGTGCTTGCTGTTGCAGTACGCGTGGTGCCGTGGATGTTGGTCCTTTGGTGGATACGTTTGTAGTGTGTTGCCTTGCTGTTGTTTTCCTTCATGTGGGTAGTTTATTCTTTTATTTGTTGTATTTTTTTATAAGTCCCTTCTTTATTAGTACATGACTAGTGAATTTCTTGTCGGTTTTTTAACAAAATTGAAAAAGAAACAATTCACTGAGATACACTTTACATTTTCTTTAGGCGTAAAATATCTGCCAAAGTTGTAATAATAATTTAGTTGTTTGGGGGATTGCTTCAAGGCACTGAGATTGGGGTTTTACTGATTGGATTTGACCTATCCAATCCGGATATCTCAAAGTGTTTAGTCAACCCTCAATCTTACATCGAGAATCCTATCATCGACTTCCCTCTTGGGAGGAAACTCAGTGTACCCTACTCTAGCCAGAAACCAAAACCCTAAGAATAAAATCACAATATCCAACAGTGAACTCCTAGTTATCTCTACTACGAAAAGCATTTATAGAGGCGCCTTTTTTTTTTTAATAAGGTCTGCTCAATCTAAAACTGCCTCTAAAATAGTTGCCGAAACGAGCTGTTTGTAGAAACACATTTATAGAGGCGGCTGGTTATAGAAATGCCTAGCCACCCCCTACAAATGAATTTTTAAAGGTGGTTGGTTCTATGACCCAGTCGCCCTTGGAAACATATATGGAGCCGCCCCTAAAACCCCTCTCTATAGCCGTGCATCCTGTGCCAATCCAGCATGCATGTTACGTGACGTGACCAGTGCCCTGTTCGCTTGGCTGATAAACCATGGCTGAAAGTAACTATTGGCTGATTTGTTGTGAGAGAAAAATACTGTCGTTGACTGAAAAAATACGGCTTATAGACCAAACCGAACAGGGCGCAGCTTCACCCCTCAAATCGGGTGAATGTACATGTTATGTATATTTTAGAAGAAAAAACATCAAGAGCTCAATATCAAAAGCTTCAGCAGTTATTTAAATCAGAGAATCAAAATGTAGAATGTATGTATATGTGTTTCAAACAATGCGGTGCCTGCATAAGTATGAATGCAATGCGCGACTAGAATCAAAATAATTGGGGAAGCGGCGGGCACAACAATGAGGTCCAGTACGTACGTGATGAGGATCGACCTGCTGGTGCGGGCGTGCGGCAGTTCACTGCCCCAGATCAGGACATAACTGTCGGTTAAAAAATTCTCTTTACTACCGGATTTTGAACCGACAGTGACATACCGATATTGATGAGGGTTGACATCACTGTCAGTTCTTAAGAACCGATACTGATCTACAGGCAACAGTCTCGATTCCGGGCTTCACCTGGCAGTGTCTAGTTGAACAACACTGCCGGTTTGTAGACCCAACCGACTGTGATGGTTGCTTCAAGAGTGTCGGTTCTTGGCTCAAGCCAACAGTGTTGAGCAAGCCTAAACTATCGGCTTGTGTATCAAGCCAGCAGTGTTGAACAAACCATCACTGTCGGTTCATGGCTCAAGCCGGCTATGTTGGTCGAGCAATCACTGCCGGCTAGTGGCTCAAACCGGCAGTGTTGTCTTCAGCAACACTGCCGGCTCGTGCCATGAACCGACAGTGCCCTCTTTACCATCATTGCCGGTTTTGTGCTAACCGGCAATGATTTTTTTTCACATTTTACTGTTTTATAATTATTTTATTTTATTTTTTGGTGGAATCGGGTTTTGCTTTATATTCGCTACGTAGACGACAAGTCCATCAACATTAAACATTACAAATGTTATGGTTATATTTCAAATGTACTTACGAAGCTCTCGATCTCTAGAAATAAAAAAGAAATTATAATAGTCTAGCGAGCTGCTCTGGCCCGTACTGCGCCTTATACTTCACGGACTGTGCAACAAAGACTGTTCCTTTTTTTTCCAAGCACTCCGATACGATGAAGGCTGCTAGCTTCGATGACAGTGATATGACCTCCATTTCTAACAATCTATTGTGTTTAAATTTCTTGCGCTGTTATTCAAAAAACCGGTTTAAAAAGGCAGAAATGTTAGAGAAATAAGTAGATCGTTTTGTTGAATTAACATATATAAATGAATTAGGGATTATACACATCAAAGTATCTGTCGCCTCCGATTTTACGCTGAGGTAGCGAAGCATTGTCCACATTACGTAGAACCCACATTCATTTGTTTCCCGCCGACTGGTCTAGGGTCTCCAATTGCATTGGTGCAACCTGGAATGGGACCTTCGTCCCACCAACCATTCTTGCCTGGACACTGTGCCACATTATGAAGTGTAGAAACAGGGCAACATTAGAATATACTATGTGCGATTAAAAAATAATATGTTATTAGGTTCGCTTACGCATTAAGCACTTCGACTAGAGGATCGAGCAAAGAAAGTGGCTTTTTCTTTGAGTCCCACACCTTGATACGATTTCTTTTAATATCGACAACAATGAAGACAAAATGGTTGCTGCAATCACAAAACCCTAGTTAACGAATAATCATAACTACAGAAAACAAGCATAAAAATAAGAGCAGAGAACACATATTCGTAGCTGTAGTCTAGAAGTATTTTGGTTTTATTACTCATGTTGAAATTTTAAAAAATGGCAAGCAGTGTCTCCGTTAGATCTTCCACTTTATTTCCGTGCATGCCTCCTCATGTTCTCTCATTGACTAGCTCAGGGTCCAGGAAAGACATATAAGCGTACTTTGTTTTGAAGCAATATTTTGGTACACACCTAC